CCAATCAATTCTATTAATTTAACCACATGAATAAAATTATAACATTTAAAATCATTTTGATATTGCGAATGATTTATGTCTTTTTGGTTCTAAATTTCTATTTTATTTATAAAAATGTTATTGTTTTTTTATTCTATATTTATTTGATACATTTCAAAATTATGTAAGTGATAAATGTTTTTCTAGATTTGAAAATTAAATTATATTGTTCGATCAAAAACATATAAATAAAATAAATTTATTAATTAAAATTAAATTTTAAAAAATGTGAAACACTAATTCTAGATAAGGGATTTATTTCAAAATGTTCAAATTTAAAATATGGTATAAATTAATTAATAATTAGAGGTCTTATAGGTTATGGATATAAAATATTACATTGCACTCATCGATCTCTATCAATCAATTAGTAGCTAAAAACATGTCCTTGTATGATTACCATGAATAAAAAATTATTTTAAACATTTAACATTTATTACCGGTTAATTTAATTTTATTATTTTTAATGAATTTTAATAGACTGATTTCATGATCTTTATATATCTACCTTTTCTTAAATAATATATTTTTATTTCTTTCTTTAATTTTGGTAAGAATTTGTTGTCTTTTTAAGTTATAATTCATTTAAATTTCTTAATACTGATTGCAAGTGATATTCAAACTATAAAATTTAATAATCATTTATATTAAATACTGATTGCAAGTGATATTAAAACTACAAAATTCAATAATCATTTATATTGCTATTATCCATTTCATCATATGAGTTACACTTTCACTTTGTAGCTGACCACTTCTCTACATCACAATGCATATTATCAATAATAGCCTTGAATATAGTCGGATTACCGAGACAGAATACAATTGTGATAGTTCTACAAACTATAAATAATAATAAACAAAAGATACATATATCTTGTATTTATTAAAATAAAAATATGTGGCATATGCTTTCCGTATCAGTTGCCTAATCAGTTGTTGCCTAATCTTCTTTTATTATATATATATATATATATATATATATATATATATATATATATATATATATATATATATATATATATATATATATATATATATATATGATGAAATTAAAGTTTGAATCAGGTAAGACACACATACAGATTTGTTCAGCGTGTATATTTGAATTGATACTGACAGTGAGTTTGATGTAATCAAAATATCAATATGATTTTACTATTCTTGATTTTCACTGTTAACCGTAATAAGACCACAATCATTATTAATGCTCAAGATCCAAGGATATAGTAGCAAGTCACACAACCATATTAAGATCTCAATTATGAAATTTCCCCAACATAACCTTGTAAGTTCATACACGTACAGTTGTGGTGTTCAGACTGCATTAAATTATATTCATTGTTCATGTTATTCTTTAGATATAATCTTATAGCTCTGAAATGCAACAACAAAGCCCTTCTTAATACTATAATACTATATGAACAAAAAATTCACAACAACAAAAAGTAAAACAAAGTAAGCAAACTAAATGGGTGTTCTCACCTTTTATTATCATTGTGTTGCTACATCAGAAAATCAATGTACTTGTTGTATGAAGACGACGATGTTCACGAGCAGGAAGTTGTGATGCAACGTGTTGCTGGTAGGTTTCAATCCAGCAGGAACTATTTTGAAGATCTGTTACAGATAAATTTTTTTCTAGACATAAGAGAGATTCATTAGTTATTGAGTACATGCAAACTATTTCAAATTTAATTTTCCATCACTGCTTATTATGGTTATTCAAATCCTATACAAACTTTCACCTGAAACATGTTTATCATTAACAAAAAGAAATAAAAAAACCCAACAATTATCATTCAACACTGCTAATAAAATCTAACAGTTATCTATCGATTCATAGCTATGAAAGTACTTGTTAGGGGGAGAATAATTATGTCTCATTCTGTAGATACAATCATTAGGCCAATGACTAAAATTATACTCCACAATGAAATGGAATCCGAACAAATGAAAACAAACCTGCAACAATGCTTAAGATAATAAAATTTGAAACATTGACAGGATAAACATAATAAGTTATGACTGAAAATAGCCGAATCAATATTGAACTGAAAATAGCTAATGCAATATTGAACTGAAAATAGCCTATTCAATATATATTTAAACATTGGTACTTCTTGTAC